TAACTTTTATGTCCGATGTTGAGACGACGTACAGGGACGATACTCCACATGAGTACCATTGGATACTGGACGAAATTAAATCCAACACGCTAGAATTATGTTCATTCGCGCAAGTAACAACCCACGATAATCCCATGTTGTTAGCTGTTGACAGATTTCTACTTTGGTAACATGCGCGTTCGATCCACCCGTCAGTTTGAAATTTGAAATTCCTACCTCTGGTCTCACGAGTGTACCCGATCGTCTAAAAAAGTATTTTGAAACTAAATCTAAAAGGGTTAAAATTCCATTGATTTGACTTACTATGCGATGACCGGCTCTGGATATACCGCCAACCAATCCAATCCCCGAGACGTTGGAAGGTGTTGGATCCATTGCAATACACAGACCCGAATCACACGCAGATCGTAATATCTCTTCACTCAGTGGGATACGTTGCTGAGACAATTTGTCTAGAGTACCTTCACTAAATAGAATCTGGATAGACTGATCTATAAAATCGGCCACTCCGAGACATTCTAGTTCGTACGAACCTTTACGAAGTAATTCCATTAACATTCTAACCGGATTACCTTCGCTTCCGTCTATATGCCTGGGTACAAGATGAAGTTTATGAACACATACACCTCGGTGTCCTTTACTAATGCACGCGTCGCACATATACGGTTGTACTATACTTTTGACTAACGGACGTCCTTTCCAAGAGAGTTTCAGTAACCTCGCTGACCAATGATCTCGACTCGTCATCGAAGATGTAAACAACACGGACACCCCAATAGGTTGAAATATAGGAGCAGAAGTGATAAGTGAAGCGTGCTTTATCCAGGGAAATTCGTCAACCCATCCAAATGTACATCCTGCACCTCTAGCTGCCTGTCATAAAAAAAATAAAAAAATAATAATAATAATAATACAATCAATCAATGTATAAACAAACAAACAAACAAACAAACAAACAAACAACACGTGTGAGAGATGGCTAGATATAATATCACGCACATCGGCACAATTAGTTCATTAATAGTAATTCAATGATGGATGTGATATGTCGGAACGCATACTTGCAGCAGAAGACAAATATACAGGGTTATTACGTAAACGTTTTACACAAGTGTGACGAATCGTGTCATTTAGTCAGTCCTTTTACAAACGGTTGCCATTACGTGTGTGTTAATTCTTTGAAATATCATTATTGTGACGGTGGTCGAGAATGTCTAACAGTGTCTATAGACGGACAATTAGTATGTAGACTAACTGGTCACTGTCAATTAAATTACGCTTCTTACGTCGGTCTAGATAAACCATTGTACGCGACCAGTATACAATCGCATTAAGTGCGCACGAGGTCACTATTCACAAATGAATAGAATGTTATCGGCAGTAGCTAAAGTCATTCGACAATTGTATAACAGTGAAAATAGACTGGCGTATAATCAAATCCCAAGAATACGTGTACTGTACATCAAGAAAGCCTCTTCTACGATACTTTCAAATGTACTTCAAAAAGGTATTTCAATATGCGACGCTTGGAATAGACAGTTACAACATAACGTATTTTGTCAAGTTCATTTTAATTTTTCAGACGAGATAGATTTAGAAGCATATGTAAAGAAAATATTAAAAATAGTGTTAAAATATGCACGTACGAAACGTGGCACATTGATGAATAATCCACAGGCTACGATACTGTATTTGACAAAATGTGTCGTCGACGGGTTTTCGAGCGACGGTAAAAACTTGCTTTCAACTAGATATAAACGAATGGGACCAATGCCATTCGACCGACATTTCAATACTATTTTTAGTCTCGATGATCACAAATTGACGCAATGTTCCAAAATTGTTCAAGGAATTATGACATCGACCTCGTGTCGGCGAGCCTTACTTGGTCATAGGTTTTATTAACAAATCGAAATGATTGCATTTATCTAGCATTGATCCGTAATCGCGGAGTAATACGTAAATCGGAGATCTTCCTCTCGAGATACTATTCAAATCGCAATGATCAGTTCTTACGTTCAACTGTGGTGTTGCATGTAGATCTCGTTGAACGTATACGTATATAGGACGATGCAACATCATACTCGCTCCCATTATTTCAAATGTCGTGGCCGCGTGAGAGTTTACAGTCGATCGAAGTTTTTCGCATCTATCGTCAATGTTATCGTTTTCATCGTAGTGACGCAAGACATCGTAATGTTTTTTCACGAAATCGGCTAATGCCTGTCTAAATTTCAATACGTCCGCTTCCATTTGTGTATCGAATGTATCCGCTTTCCATGAATTTGTAATAAATTTATCGAGATAAACACTATTACCGGCTACGACACAACATCTGTAAAAACATTCTTTATTATATCCACTGATGCATATCTTTTTCAAATCTTCTATTTTTATCATCGAGTTATCATCATCGCCTCCGGGACTGACATTTTCATTTCTGGGTAAATCATCCCCGTCGGCTGCGGCGGAGGTGTCGTCGGCGGCCGGAATCGTATTATCCACGCAATTCGGGCTCATCTTTTTGTCACAGTGAGCTACTAACAAGATGATGTTGGTGGAATAATTTTTTTTTTTCTTGACGGTGGTAACCCGGCGGTAGAGTATGTCCGCCGTCGTATACGAATTTTATGCCGTGTTAGACGGTAGGGTCTCCCGTAATAACGTCGTCTCATAATTAACTAATATAATAGTTTAATACTTATGTTAATAACAACGAAAAACAAAAACACACACAAAAAATGACATCAACTAGGACAATTACAGAACAAGACAATTCGAGGGTCAACAGGATTGCGAATGAAATGAAAACCAGTACTAATCCAGTGTGCAGGTTGAATAGAATTCTTTCCACTGGGTTTGATACGGGAATTCAGATCCGTTGCGCCAATAGCAACATCTATATGACAAGAGGATTTTCGGATCAGTTTATCAATGATTTCCAAGAAATAGATCCGAGTGTATTCATACTCGATTCCGATAAAGAGCTACTCGCGCAATATAAAGAATTACTAAAAGTGTACAAAAACTTGCGCGGGAAGTGGTCACTGAATTTACCCAGAGCCACGTTCAACCACTGCGTGTATATGTTGGTGCTTGGTGGAGGTTTTCTGATGTCATCCAACCAGTCATGTACTAAACCGTTGGTTGCCTTTGATGTCAAGAAAGAACAAATCCGTGTAAAGAAATATTTCAAGGCTGTATGTTACGGTAGAATGCAGAGTCTTCCCGGTGATCAATCTTATAATTTAATATACGACGCGGAAAACAAAATAGACGTAATTCGATCGTACGTGAAAGTTCGTTCAGACGTGCATGCATTTACTGCTTATTCGGCGTGTAATTTTATAAACAAACAAATCGACATGTTAAGTACTGAAGGTTTGTCACGCGCAGTACAAAATCAATTACGCGAAGTATGTAAAGTAATACAGCGCAGAGAACGGGG